CGTCTTTCCGGCGGAGATCCACTCTCCTTGAGTGTCAACGATTAGAGGGACACCGTTGGTCGACGACTTTTAGCTGGATTGTCGGTAGATTGATCCGAACCTTGTGTTGTGGTATCATCGCGTTGTTCTTGGGAGAATATTCTTTCGAAGAGACGTTTTGTAGAATATTTGTTCCCGATAGATCGGAAGTTCGAAAATGATAGGATCATGGAGATTTTTCCAGGATAAACAGTGTTCTTACTTTCCGAGGGGTGAGGTTTTATAGAATATTTATCCAGGCTACCGATAAATTCAGCGTTTCGAGGTAATAAAGAAAATGATAGCCCGAGGACGCGACGCGGAACGTCCGATCTTCGGAATAACTTTGATCGATGACGTCGCGCGACCGGAGAACGAGTTCGGGGCGGCGGTAGAGGGAGTTGATAGCGACGAGGGGTGAGATTGCCTTGTCACCTTGACAAATGGTCGGAGAACGAAAGGTACCAGGCTACGTTGAAATGCGCCGCGTCCTCCAGTTCCTTAAATTTTCGTCCCGCCCGCCTCCCTCTCGTCCCCGGCTCCACCTGCTTGTCTCTCACGAGGCCCTCGAAGACAGGAGGACCGACACCCCTGACGACGATTAGTCATTAACCATCGACAGGCCTGACAAATAGCTCGGGGTTTGAGTTTATTAAATGCAAAGGGGATGACTCCGGCCAGAAATACTCTGAAAGAGCAACTAAAACCTTCAAACGCGAAAAAAAAACACATTGTAAAGTACACAAGGGTGAACGGGGCAATTGTTTGATATGAATATACGAAATTCATTAAAGTCCTAATTAATGCTGAATAAAACTTTAATTAGCAGCCAACGGTGAATAAATCTTTCAGACTGTAGTTCGTTCCATTGTGACGGCCGCAATTGACCGGGCAATAGATTATCAATCCGTATCAATGGTTAATTATTAGCTTACATATAGAGCAACCGGCGAGGCCCGTTCAATTATTAATTCTCAAGAGTATTGATACAGTTTTAATGAATTCCCCGGCTCCACTTTCTAACCGGCCCGGTCTCTCTTTAATCATGCATCGTCTAATTACTTTTCCGCGGATGAAAGCGAGCCGCCCGCCGCGCCGATTGATTCCCCGTTTAAACACCGCGCGACTTCATTCAGCGGCCCATGATCTCTCGCCGCGCGTCGCCGCGCGGGGAGGAATTTCATCCGCGCGCCGCGGTTGCATAATTTAACGCGGCCGTTATTCGTGGACGAATCGAAACGCGATCCCGTTGTAAACTCGATGTTCCTGTCGGGCAGCGGCGATCGTTCTCCGGTTACGGAATTAACGGCGACCCGCGTCGTCACGTTCCGACGGCTTCCGCGAACGTATCAGCGATTTTTTTCCGCTCGAAATTCGACGTGGAACGAGGAGCCGGCGTAAATTGATTCGACACCGCCGTGTCGCGACAAGAATTTGACATCAAAATGAATTCTAGCGGAGTTGGTTATCATTAGCCATTCCTGACGCTTCGAATCTCTCTAATTGCCGGAGAAGTTCAAATGATTCGCGTAGGAAGTTTATGGAAATTACAAAGTTTCAGTAATTTTTGGGTAACAAAGATGGATTATTATTAGCAGGCTCGCGGTGCGAATTGGGGTGAAAACATTGCACGGAGATTTGTTTGCGTTCCTTATTGTGGGCCACGATTTTCACGGTAAATAATTTCTATAGGGTGACATATATTTCCCGATGACACGGGGCAGAAAGTAAAAAAAGGAACCGCAAGGAACCGTCCCCCGTTAGCCGAGCAACGTCACCCGCAAACCGCGCTAGAGGGGGCGGCTCACCCTCCACGCCAAAAATCACATTCCTGGCCAGACCCCTCGACATCGCTACGCGGTACCGCGCCGGACCCGCATTCCCATACGCACACCGGCGAACCGGTGCCCGTACAGTCGCCCGCAATAATCGCGTGTCCGTGCTTTTATTAAAAACGAGAATTTCTGTACGAGGAACAGCCGGAATATTTTACTTGACGTGAACATTCGTCGAATTCCGCGCGATAAATCGTCCCCGGTTCAATTCTGACGCTGCGAATAAACCGCGAGCCTGTGCGATGAAAAATACGTAATTACCCTGTTGCTCGGTGCTTTCCAGTATTCACCCTCTGTCTTTGTAGGAGAGTAAATTAAAAAGATTAGAAAGAGTGGGGAATATAAAGGCGAATGCGACAATGCATTGGCTGAACAGTCTACGAGCTTTGATCGAAGAGCCTGTACATATTAATCGTTGAAATTTTGATAAATTCATCGACACTTTTACAGTATTTATATGTGGCTCGAAGCTTTGGAATATTGATCCCTATCTTTGTAGGAGAATAAATTGAAAAGATTGGGAAAAGTGGGAAATATATAAACTGAACAGTCTACGACTTTTGATTGAAGAGTCTGTGAATATTAATCGTTGAAATTTTGATAAATTTATCAACATTTTTACAGTATTTATATGTCACTCGAAGCTTTGGAATATTGACACCTATCTTTGTAGGAGAATAAATTGAAAAGATTGGGAAAAGTGGGAAATATATAGGCTGAACAGTCTACAAGCTTTAATTAACACATCGCGTACCGGCTAATTTTCAGAAAACTGAATTGTGCGGATGGCAATTTTCACTCACGTCAACTTATACCACTATACATAGAAAAACTCAGATATCATATTGTTATGTAATACATTTCAAATAGATAATCAATTTGAATTAAATTTTATATTTTTCCAATGGTACTTAGCGAAGTTGCATAGCTGTCTTTATATAAAAACGAGATTTCTCGTTACCGTTACGCAATATGTTAAAGATCCTATGAATATTCATTGAAATGTTGATAAATCCATCAACAATTTTACAGTATTTACATTCATACATTCCCACAACATTTTCAGTAACACGTATACCTATTAAATTCCCCTGAAGCTCGAATTTAACCGACCAAAGGTACGAAAGTTTTTCCGAAACTCCCAACTAGAAGTCGCAACTGTTCCCTACGCGAGGGGTTAATTGCAAAGTGAAAAGTAACGTTCGCCGACAGCAGGAAGCAATGTTTCTCGACCGACTGTACGAAGAGACGAGTTACTGCGCGAAAACACAGCGTCGAAGTCACGCAACCTGCGCGCATGAATGCGTAATGCCTGCGGACAGTGATTTCCACCCTCGACGGCCGCCCCTTTCGCCCGGTCCGCGGGCAGATGGGGTTCTCACGAGTCGCCCTTAATACCGCTCATAATCGGGCCCCGATAATGCACGCTGTCACAACACGCAAACAATGGCCCGCGGCCGATTGAAAAATCAAAGGATTACTCGTGTTCCTCGCGGCCCGCGGGGGATGGTTTCGCGCTAACACGAATGGAGACACTGCAAACAGTATCCAGCTTCCCCCGGGGCCGGTCGATTTAATTTAATAAAATATTTATACCGATTTGACGAGCTAGTTGCTTGGAAACCCGGGGGGGGGCGGCGTCGCCCATAGAATAATTGAATCGATTCGAGGGTGGAAACCTGTTAAACGATCCACCCTCTGTTTGAAACTGTTCGAGTGTGTGCGGGGTCTAAGATCGAACGTGAAAAATTCATACGCCGCCGTACGGGAACGAATGTGTAAACGTTCGTTCGATGTATGGAGGGTCGCAAAAGTTGCCCCTGAAATCCACCCCCGCGTCTTTCAATCTCGTGTCGCGACTCGAAGCCGGGACAGCCGTCACATTTTTATCTCTGCAACAGGGAA